CTTGCTGAATTTCATTTTAATATTATATTGTTCTATTCAGTTCAAGTTAAAGGGCTGATTTGCACAGCACTTCATGAACTGTCATCTACAAGGTGACCTGAACCGACTGTTATTTCGAAATCTGATCTTCCCTCTAAAACAATAGCATCTTTCGGAGACGCCTCCGCATAGAAAGGTGATACCACTTGTCACATATCACAAGTCAAACTGTAAATTGACAACAACGACCATCTCGTTAAAATTCAAAGTGCAGCAAAAAATACCACATTTTCGGTATCACATCTAAAGCTGAAAGTGCAAAACTAAAAGTCTAAAACTAAATATCATCACCCAATGTCCGAAATCAGTCTTTTCTGTTGTTTTTGCGTAATGCATGCTTTTCTACAATGTCTAAAAAGCATCGCAAATAAGATTTCCAGAATCTTTGCACATGTAAATAATCAAGAATTTAAAATAATTATTTTGTTGTGAAATTACTTTGCTGTCATAACCAGTGGCCTGCAAAATGTTTTACCTTTATGATTAATTTACAACTTGACTATGTTTATCAAGAGCGGTTTGACATTTCTGCGCGGAGGCGGCCGGCTGCCTTTACTGTGGCGCTTAGAGGAATCAGATCTCCACATCAAGGCTTAAAATCGACGCATCTTTGGTGACTAAGAAGGGCATTTTCAATTCTAAAAAAAATGTAGGTGAAGAACAAGAAAAAGAGGAGCGTGACAGAGGAACTCCAGATACAAAAGTAACGAGCGCAGTAGTTCCTGCATGCGGCTAAAAACAAGCATTTATCTAACAGTATGCGTCTAGTTTTTATATATTTTATTTTATGAAGTTTAATTTTTTATCCTTTATTTTGACTGCCTGATGTAGGTTATATGAGTAAAAACAGCTACGCTACCTCCGTACCATTAGACTAAAGTGGGTTTGGCATACACAAAGTAACCCACCTTTCATCGCTTTTTCCACGTTAGTCGACATCCTGGAAGAAACAATGTTACAATGTGGGAAGAAGAATAAGGTATTATCATGTCCTAATTACATGCCCGCGTTTTAGTTACACCACGCGCCAATCATTTGACCTGCGCTTTCTTAGGACGCCGAGTGGGCGCCATGCGACCGTCATCAAGCCGCGTGATGAAGGGTGCCGTAATACACCGAGTGCAAGAGCCATCGCGATCGCTTCGTCACATCCATCCGTCCTTCCTGGTTGTCGTAATACATCAAGTATTGGAGTCTTCGTGATTGCTTCGATTCATCAAGCCATCATTCCCAATGGTGTTAAGCTGGGGGCCGTAATACACTAAGAAGCAGTATGCTGGAAACATCCATCCATGTCACATTTGGTTATCGATTTCAAGTGTGCGGAGAATTAAACCCTATTCCAAGCAGCACAAAGCAGGGGTCACCCTGGCTGCCATTTGCTGAAAAAAAAAAATCGTTTTTAATTTGCACACTATTTTTGGCAGATGCTTTTATATAATAAATCATAATTAATAAGCTTAAAACCTTACTCCTTCTCCTACAGACTTGCGAAAACTGGCCGACCTTCTGAAAATAATCATCTTCATCAGTCTTCATAAAGGGACAGTGTCTGTGTTGTCAGGTGTCATTATATGGTAATACAATCCACACATTGTACTAAAATGCCTCTAACAGCTGAGCACAACCTTTTAAACTTTGTAAACTACAACAAAGAACTGCCAACTGAACATACGGACACGCGTCATCCGAATTGGAGTATCTCTCCCAGTGTCCTCCATGTGCTTCCTGGGACCGGCTCAAGCTGGGCCTGGGTATAGTGATTAATTGCATTGTGTGCTTTCTTTTTATAATGGGAAACTCACCAAACATAATATGTAATAACTATACATTAATGTAAGAATCTGCAGCTAGAGAAATGTTGCCTTATATAAGCTGACATGATAATCCTCGCTTTTGTTTAATTCATTTATCGTGGTCAAGTCGTACTTCTGCAATTCAAACTTCTTCCCCCCATTCTAGCTTGACCTTTAACTCGCGCAAAGGATGCCGCGCTTGTGTGATGGTTTCCCTTTTCAGATGTACTGTATTCTCAGCTGAAAGTGGGGTTTTTATGGTTGGTGTTAATAGTGTTGGTGTAGATAAAATACCCCCCCCCCCATTTTTTTTCTTCATGTGGACTGTGCCCAATCTGCCCCCACACAAACAGCCTGTATGGTTAATGGATTAAATCCAGCACCTTTGATCACAACCAAATTTATACTGAAAACTACAGCAACATCAGGCACTGCCTGGCTAGATATGGCTGTGGCCTGACACATGCAGGCTGGATGGTTTGGCTCATGGTAGTTTTACTTACACAAAACTGTTCTGATGGCAGAACAAATAAATGATTGGTTCAGAGAGATCACCAATCAGATTGTAGAGGTGATGGGTCCAAGCAACTAGAGGAGGTGGAACCAACCAATCAGATGTCTTGGTCCCGCCTCTTCCAGTTCCTTGGACCCACCTCCTCTACAATCTAATTGGCTAGCTCTCTGAAACAATCATTTTTCATTCTGCCCTCAGAACAACTTTGTCTAAGTAAAACTCCTACGAGCGATGGTTTGTGTCTTTCTGCACTGTGTGTATATGTAGTTTACATATTCTCCTAGCACCGTAGGGCTCAGGGGGTCGAGGTGGTATGGTTATGATCAGGTGACTGGTTCAAATCCCCAGGTCAGTAGAGTGATTTCACTTTAGGGCCCTTGAACAAGGTCCTTAATTCCTAACTTCTCCAGGGACTGTCTGACCCTGCTTTTTCAAACAAGGTATGTTGTATTGGATAAAAGTATCTGTTAAATAAAATGTAAATGTTTTTGTGACTAAGTTGGCATCCCTAAGAAACACCCCATGTTCACCTGAATGTTTGTGTACCCTGCCATGGGTTAGTATCCCATCCAAGGTGTCTCCTGCTTTTTTCCCTACCATGGACTGGTGTCCTACCCATAGTGATTCTTGCTTTGTTCCCTGTCACAGATTGGTATCCCATCCAGGGTGTTTCCTTCTTTGTTCCCTGCCACGGGCTGGTATCCCATCCAGGGTGTTGCCTGCTTTGTTCCCCAGGATAGACTGACTGTGACCCAGGATAAACAGTTATAGAAGACAGATGGAACAGTACAAATGTTCTCTGTTCAGCATCTTAATTCTTACTGAAATCTGCTTCCATATCATAA